TAAACTGTACACACAGGGTATGGATATACACGTACACATATGAATGCAGAGCACAARTTAACAGTTTACAGGCTACACTAGTTTAAATATAAAGTTACCAGTAATTTTCATACCAGAGACAACACATACATAACATAAGAATAAACACAGTAACCCCTGTGAAAGAAAAGTTAAGCTAAAGGAATATAATTTCTTGGCTGATTACTGCAGTTCATAGCAACTGCAGAAGAGTAGGTTATTTGGTTGTTATTCAAAGATTTTTCTTTCTTAAAAAAAACAGATTATCACTTTTGCCTACAAATTAAAGTAAGCYACACATGCAAGAACAACCAACCTGTTGGCAATATCTATTACAGTCTTTGTATTGAAATTAACAGACTGGGAGCCATTAAACAAATAATTCTTCTCCATACAAAGTCTTCTGTTACTCCAATTTTGCCAGCATGCTGCACCAGGAGAATGCAGAGAGGCCAGCTCTGGCTCACAAAGCTGTCCAAGCCAGGAATACTGTTAAGTATTATTAAGGAATACCAGGTGAACAGGTTTCTGCAGATCTGGCATTCAGCAGTGGCTCACAAGCTCAGACACACGAAAGCCAATTGCACATAGGCAGACACACTTACAGTACCTCCCTCTAATCCAGAGAGGTTTGTCACACCCACTCAGGTACATGCAAGGTTAGTCCTACTCACACAATCTCATGAAACTGYTCCTTTACTTTCATTCCATTTTCCTATTTTTTTTTTTCCTGTGATGCTTGTTCTTACAATTTTTCCCCAGTATAATTTCTCCACAGTATTAATGTACAAAACTGCTTTTTGCTGAAAAAGTTATTGCTGTTAAGTATTGGAAAGAAATGCTGAAAATACTTCAGTGGTTTGTTATTCCTTCATCATTTCTGCACTAACCCTGAGTCCRACAATTAACATATCAATCTCACCAGCAGGTCAGAACACCTAACAGCCACTTATACATCAAATATTACTGTTGAACTTACTAAGGTTTTCTACCAACAACAGCAAAACAAATCAGGTCAGAGTTCCTGTCAGTAATTTTTTGCATTCACTGTTTCACAGACATTTACAAAATAAAAATATTAATATTTTATTTAAACAGAATCAAAAAGGAACTGAACCACAGTGTAAATAGTGATGATTGCAATGCTTTTGCATAATACTGTAAACTGCATTAATCTAATAATTTCAAAGCCCATCCTCTGTGGTGTTTTGCTTAATGGGGTTTATGGGTAGCTTTTGTCCATCTGTTCTTCCATTGCCCTTGTTGCAATACCTTCTCCTTTTCTTCATCCTCAATAAAAAAAATTCACTTCCTCCCTTTTCCCTTTATTTTTTTATTCCTACTTTTTCTACATCTTCCTCTTGTCAGCACAGGCTCCACCTGCATTGCCAGTTTCCTTCAACTTCAGTTTGTTGATACCATCAAACTGTGCATCTTTTCCATTTGCACATGCAAAAGTGTGATTTCACTTACCTTTCCATACAAAGTATACACTGTTAGGCTCCCTCCTCCAGTGTACACGACACATTAAATGTTTTTTACTTTAGCAGGTACAATGTGGAAATGATTCTGTTTTAGCTTTCACCAAAAGGGCTAAATACTGGGATAGGCATGTGCATTCACACATAGACACAATGGAATAGCTCACTTGGCTATTAACGAGAAAATAAGAATTGGCATTTCCATTAAAAATTGATCCTTTTAATAATGTAGAACTAGACTGTGTTTGTTCATTTCAGTGCAAATAATTCTTGCAGAAAAAGTTTTGTAAAASAATTTTCTACTCTTTCCTCAATAAGGGTATGCATATGAGCATCACCAAAAAAAAAACCACTTTTATTTTGCTTCAAAATGTATGATACTCAAATATATGTAAAGATAGCAACTACACACACTGCTATGTTGAAAAGAGTGAAAAATTCAAAACAGGAAACAAAAATAAGGTTCCCAAAAGGATTCCAATCTACCTCCTTTCAGGGTTTGAATCATACTTAATCATCAAAGGAAAAACTGTTGTTGACCGTTTCAGAGAGATCTTTGTCTAGACAAATGCCCTTTCCAGTTCCAGGACTGGCTTAAGAAGAAAAGAAAAAAAGAAGTTATAGGATACTTCTTTCATATTATRTGACTTTAACTGACAGATTAATTTTCAAGTAGAAGGACACTATTACCCTGGAAGCCCACCTAAGAAACCAGAGCTGACTCACATTTTTTTTGAGCATTCAAGAGAACAGAGTTCTATTCTTTGATTCTCCCTATTAAAAATTAAGSTATGCATCAAGCTTTCTTCCTCATTACGAAACATGATTTGTAATGAGTTTCTGGAATTTGTAATGTGATTTGTGGAATGAGTTGACCGAACAGAGCAGACCAACATCCATGGCTACATACCATGTGTCAAGAAAGCTTCCTAGTGCAACTCCCAGTCCTGTCAGGAAAGGGACTTCTTTCAGCAGCTCTCCTGAAGTCAACAGGTTTTCGTCTTTATCAAGCCATAAGAATATCAACTGGAAAACTGCCCTTTTTATGCTAAGAAAATTCAGGTCACACAACTGGACGGGACCCGCTACAATAGTAAGCAGCCTCTCAACATGTAGCAAGTTCAGGATGATATACAGTACATGTTTCTCCACACAATTACTCTTCCAAGCACTGGAAACCCCTAAATTAAGCTGAAGGATTAAAAAGGAATCTGAAGAAACCAAACATCAATTTCCCACCCTCATATATGGGCTAAAAAAAAAAAAAAGAAAAAGAACCCTGCAGTTCTTTCCAGTTTTCTGTTCTCTGTGTCACCTTCCTTACATGTTTCTGGTAYTGTCAGAATGTTGTTTGTTCAGCTGGGCAATGCATGATTTTCCAGCATCTCCCAGTTTTGGCAAGATGATTGCTGTGCACAAATACAGACAAGGCTTCCACATCTCACAGCTTCACTGCTATGCTTGGTAACACGAAAATGCTGATTAACTTTAGAAAAATCACAAAGGTGCAGTTTCCCAGCAGAATCTTGAAAATCGAAGCAAGTGGAAGGTTTTCCTGAGAGCATCTTGAGCAACATCCTAGTCACAATGTTTTTCACTACAGCTGAATTCTGATCCTTAAGATGTCTTCTCTATGAAGGATCTGAATTCCCTCCCAGCACTAAAAACATGTTTAGTCTTTGAATGAAGGGATAAATCTCTACTGAGAACAGCACTTGTCCTGTTCCCATGAAAATCTGGCAGATATAGCAGCAGATTGTCTTAAGAAAAAAGGGAGAGAGAGTGACAAACCTACATTACTCTGCAGTCTTTCCTCCTTCAAGAGGCACCACTTTCTTCTAGATGGTCTGTAGCTGGAACTTACTATGTTCAAAAGAAATCCAAAAGAGAACAGTAACAGGCATACTACTCGACCCTTACACTCTGTCATGTTTTAAAGGGGAGGAAGAGTGGAACTCTTCTCCCCTGTTTAAGCTAGTTAAGGCAGCCAGTGGAAAAAACTGGGATAACAGTAGACATTGTACTATGGGTCTTCTTTGGGTTGTAATTTTGGCAATTCCCAATCAGGTTCAGCTGCCTCTTTGGAAGGGTGAGATGCATCTTGTAAAACCTTTCACTTGAAGGTCACTAGAAAGATGCAGTCCATTACAAAAGGGTTCATGCAGTGTTGCTGCAGCAACTGATTTACCTCTTCAAAAGCATCAGTGCCACCTTAATTGACGGCTCTTGTTGAGTGTATTATCCAGACTCAAGAACAGTGGGCAGAGAGAAATAGCTATACCCCGGGATCAGACACTTTTCCAAAACTGGGGCAGAGCAACTTGACCTAGATCCTAGAAAAACAACAGATTTACTACAAGCTGGAGGAGCTGCTCTTTGTTTCCAAGATCTATGTAAATAGAAAAGCTATAGTGCAATTGTAATATCCGTTACTGTAATTAGAAAAGCTAATCAAGGGCTTTGGAGTTAAAAATAGCMTTGGGACACACAATCAAACAGTGAAATGGAATGAAAGATAGAAAATGCAGACTATTAGAAAAATAACAGTAATTGTCAAGCTTCAGAACACACCAACCATAGCAAGAAGTTAGGAAAATTCCAATAGAAACCTTGGTGAGAAGTTTTAAAGTTAAAAGCATTTAGTTCAGCACTTAGTGTGCCAGCATCCACTGTTTGCCACAGTATCCATACTTTGTGTTTCAAAGTTAGGTAATGAAAGGTGGTTGGAAATATTAGACCACTTTCTGAATACTTCTAGTTGAACTCACAATCATGTTTATATTTAAGATTTAGATCCTACTGAAGCCTGATAGTTTCAAACATTGCTGACTTTGTTAGAGTCTGTACAACTGAAAGAAATAACAGGTCAAGTAAAATATGCAATAATACTTAAAACAGATGTTGATGTAAATTCCAGTGAAGAGAAAATATTTGTTTCGATGTATGCGCTTTCTTAGATGTTATTTTTCTTATATTGCGCAACTACTGTATTTAAAAGCAGAGACTGATAAGGATGAGTTTATTTAAAAAACAAGAAGCAATTCTGTGAATGTGTATCAATGAATGTTCTGACTTTTAAAAAAATTGTACTGCTTCTTGGGTCACAAAAAGTCACCAACTATATGGTGGAGAGAAAGGGAGACTATCAAACTATGTATCTTACTTTCAATTTARATTTCACTGTACTGATGCAGTCTGAATTATACAAACTGTTGAGCCAATTCTGTAGTATTTCAACATTAAAAGAACACCCTTCAACCTTTCAAAAATTATATATCAAAATATTAACTGGGCTCAGTGCTTCAAAAACAGAGGGCTGGGAAAGTTTCTAGCTGCTTTTAAAGCTTTTAATGACATTATTTGTATTTATTTTCCTACTGATACAGTGGGATCAAGAAGATGTCATGCCCAGGAGATATGCATCCTATAATTGAAAAAAACTGCTATTTTATAAGGTTAGAGATGTGGAGTTCCATTTCAATTCCAAGTTAACAGACTTACATGATTTTCTGTTGGAAATTTTCAGTGGCTGTATCTGTACTTCTGGTCTTCTTAGTGCAAATCTCCTATAAAATGGGAGGTGGTGGGGGAAAGACACAAACTCCTCAGTTTTCACTGCAAATTTGGGATTAATAAACACTTAATATCATGAGACTATTGAAAATGTTCAGAAGATTTTACAAGAAATTAACTTAAAGCAGTGCGACCTATTCACAATCTAAAAAAATTAAATCTTGCCTGAAATTTTTGTAAGCTCTCCAAAATCTGCTGCAGTTCTTACTCCTGCATAGTACATCAGTGTGAACGCAGATACTGATGTGCTATTTTCCATATGTTTTTTCTTTCAGTCTGGATCAGTGTTATCCTATCAGTTTTTGTCATTATTAATTATAGCCAGAGAAATAAGGAAATCCAGAGTGTTTCAGCAACATGTTTCCAAGTTCAGTTGTCCTGCTGCAAATGCACGTTTATTGTACCCATGTCATCTTTGAGCGTTACACGTGCCAACTATGCTAACTTAACAACTCAGCAATAAGTCTCTTACTACAAAAAAGAATTAAATTATGCTTCTCAGTAGCTCACCTCTCCTGGAAATGCTTTGAAGGGATCAAGCCTGCTCTGGGATTGGCATCACCTTCATGTTTGGCTTGCCACCAGGTTGCATCATCCTGGCTCATGATCTGAAGGATATCTCCTTTTCTGAAAGCAAGTCCAGCTTCTTTACAAGGAATTGCTTTATCTTCATTAGGATCATAGTCAAATAAGGCTCTGATAAACATCTGAAACAAACCATGTTTTATCTTTAGAATCAAAATACAGTCCAAAGRTATCTTCCTTTTCTGTTTCTACTGTTCAAAACCACTGAACTGAATAATGTAAATATTTACTGCTGCAAAACAACCTTATGGATGTCTAGCATGAGAAATTCATGTGGGAATGTTCAACTCATTGCTTCTGCAATTGCAGTCTCAGTGGAGTAAAGGCCCTGTGACTCAAGGCAAGCAGGACTTTGCAGGTGCATAGTGTGCCCACATGAAGAACAGAGAAGATACTGTTGAATGAGGATGCTATTGAGTGTCTTCTACCTAGTGTATGATGGAAGGAGTACTTGGAAACAAGCCAGGTCCTTGCAGAAGGTGGAAGATTACCTGTCAGCTACAAAGCTGAGAGTTCAGGCTTAAGAACCAAGTTACACCCACTCATAAATTCAGCACCTGTGTACTGAAGTGTACAGTGTGCTATATATTGTCACATTACRAAAATTGAGTCCACAGGCATAAATCACTTTCTTGGTTCTGTCATCCAGACAAAAAATATATATATTCTTAGCAYAACACTCACTGCAATGGCTTCTGAAACTGTCTTGCTTACCTTGCCTTCCTTCATTGGCATTTCTTCCTTCACACTGGGTATAATTTTAAACGTAATTGCTCCTTGAGACTGAGCCTGGTGAACATTTGAAAAGAAAATGCACTGAGAATTAAGCTATGCACTTCAAAGAAATCTTAGATGATAAATAAATGCAAATGAATTTTAAGAAACTTTAATGAGTCTATCCTCTTCCAAACTCTCTGGAGTTTGACAGCTTCACTTAACCAAAATTTGTATTACAAAAATTAAAATATTCACTTGAAATCCTTGTGTTTATTTGCCTCTCTAGTGGGGCAGATGGACCGTTRAAAACCGGGACATGCATGGTTCAGAGGTCCTAGTTCTGTACCAAAGGCAGGAGAAAATGCTACAGCTAAAATGCATGCATATTAGAAGCAACTGCTGGACTCCTGGCACAGTTTGGACATCCCTGGAAAAATCAAACTAACATTTCATTTTTCAAAAAAAAAAAATTATAGAAAAATTCAAACAGGCTTGTGCCATATTTATCATATAGAGCTGTTGGGGGGGTGGGATTTATTCTCTTGGCAACTTTAAGAAACTAGAAAAAAAACCATATTTGAATAGACTACGTGTACTAAATGRAAAAAAAGCCCTCCACTATAAATCTAAAAACAAGTTAGCCATCATCAACCACCTCATCCATTCATCTTTCCCTATATCCCACTTAAAGTGTGTCTGGCTACACTTTACTTATTAACCACAATATATTCCCACTGCCTCAGTGACATGTTGCTATTGAAGGAAGTGCTAATCAGTTGGGGGCTCTGCTACTATTGCAYGCAGCCGACAGTTTTCATAAAATGAGCAGAGTGCAAAAGACAGCCAACGATTTAAGCAAAATGGAAACAGGCCTGTCCACTACTAGGCGAGACATTCTTCTGCCGGCATGTCTGCAATCCAAGGCTCACTGTTTGACAGGCAGCAGCCAAGGTCTTATTTCACCCACCGYAGGACTGGAATCAATAATTTTGTCACTATTGAAACAAACTCTAACTAGCTTTTGGTGTTTATTCTGTACCTTGAAAAGGTAAATGGGGAAATTGTTCACACCTTTTCTAGGTATTTTGTTTCTAGACATTTTTAAATATTAATTTTTGAAGGAAACTATGGCTCTGTAGCGAACATGAAACCATAAAGCAAGAATGAATATCAGCAGGTTAGCACTTAAAATGAATCATCTTGGTTACTGAACCAAAACAGTGAGATAGCTGCTCACTTCAGCAGGACAGCAAGGTATTTATGTATCTAGAAATGCCTACAGCGTGAACAACAGAGCTGTCATGACTCTCATCAATTTCTTTTGTGTAAAAATATTTCTGAAAAAGTCTAAATTTCTTAAATTGCAGTAGTGTTTCAATAATGAGAAACCAGGCAGGCTTCAGAGACTATGCATTCTAGAAGAGCGCAGACAGAATAATATGTATGGCCTACACTGTAAATCAATGTCAAATAAAATCTTCATATACCAGTTATACAGTCTAACTGGTACCTGTATTATAAATTAATTGCCACACGACAATGAGTTACTAATGAAGACATTTAAAATAGTTTGAATTCAAAAGATCATGGTGGGCCTTAAAAGCTGCAGATTATAAACTGAATTCTGCAACATTCTGCAACATCTTTATTGCCGTATAACTGTCTTTAACTCTTTAAAAAGTAATATATAATTTCATATATATGTAATGCATGGAAAATCACTCTAAGAGAAATGACAGATTTGTAAATGATGCACTTGAAGAAAAGACCAATATATATAAGAAAAACAGTAGAATCGTAAGTCCAATTATTTTGTCTTAACTCTCCTGAATTAATTTTAAAATGTTTGGTATTTACCAAAATGTGTATTATTTCTTCTGGCTTTTTATCATCTACAGGAATCCCATTCACTTCCCTCAGTTCATCACCAACATGAATAAGACCTACAGAGAAAAAAGAAGTTATGGAACTGTACCTATGTATCACACAACAACTGTCATTACTAACATTTAGCTTGTTACTCCCTTGTTCACACACTTTAAAGTCTAACTTAAAACCAGGAATATATGGTGAATGTAACAGATACTGTCCTCTCAGATAAGTTTGATAAGGTGGTTGGTTAACTCACCTCCCTGTCTTCCTCCTAATCACACATAGATTCTTGGGGTATCTGGCACAGGGAYAGGATTAGGCTTTGATGATCCTGATGGGTCCCTTCCAACTCAGCATATTTTATGATTTATAAGTGGATGTCATCAATTGGAAACAAACAATGAYATATATAAAAACCCCTCTGTAGCCACTAACTCGAAGATACCTTGCTGCAACTGAATTAGCGAAAAAAAAATCAGTATACTTGCAGCGGTATTGAAATATCACTTTGGAAAACTGTTTGTGATAGTGATGTATTTAGTTTCTACAAAATATTCCATTTTATCTCATCTTTTCCTGAGTTCTAAAACTTGAACAGCTARTGCAGAACAGCAACACCTTACCACTTCTATCGGCAGCTCCTCCACGCATTATCCTGGCCACCACAATTGCACCAGTATGTTCATCCCTTTTAATAGTAGCTCCCTCGGGGAGAAGAAAAAGGAAACAAAAAAAGAAAAAAAAGTTATTTTGTTAATCTCAGCATAATTTTAATACACTACACTAAATAAAATTTACTATGTAAAACTGCAAAAAGCTGACATTGGATTAATATGTTAATAAGCCAGAAATTACACTTTCTTCTTAAAAGAATATACAAAATACATTGGCTCTCTTTATCTCCTCTTAAAATGTGTTTACTTTTTCAATCAGAAGTAACTCATGCATTCTGTGAGCACATGGGTTAAAAGAAAAAGGCATAATGATGGGAAAGGTTTGCTTTTCAATTTAATGTTAACTGCAGTATACCTTACTTGAGTCTGCTGCTAAAATTGTATTAAACTAYTGTTGAAAATTGATAAATTGTTCCTACATTAAAACAAGCCACATTACATACTATGGGAGTCACAAAAATATAATTTCCAACATGGGTACAGAAGGTGTATCAGTATTCATAATTGTTGCATTTTATACTCAGAACTGGCTGTGTACCCACTGATCACCCTTTTGCTTTACAGTGTTATCAATAAACAAACACAAATTTGAGAAGGGCCCCTGAATGTTAGGGCTCATCTGGAATACTCACAGGACAGAAATGCAGAGGAGKGGAGCATTTCCTGAGTTAGTCATGGCTATTTTTCATACATTATGCATAGACAGTACAGGGCGCTGACTTTGTATAGTGAAATTTCCAACAGCTGTCTAGGTGAGAAAAATGCCTATGTAACAAGAACTGTGAGGGTGCATTGAAGAGGCACAAAGTGATGGGGAAGCAGCAGGCAGCAGCAGTGACAAGTGAGAAGGGACACGGAGTGTCCTTTCAGGCAGAACTGGGGAACAAGGGAGGAAATGCTGGCCCTGTTCTGGGAGACAGAATGCACTGAACACCACGGGGATTTTAACTGGGCAAGCCGAACTGCAAAATCACCTCCAAAAAGGTGATTTCATCCACTATTTTTAAAAAACAACAGAAAAAAAGCATGCCTTGTCCATAGGTTTTTAACTGTGCATGATTAGTTTCTCATATTAATCTAATTAGTTACCTGCAATAACTCTTTGTTAATCAACAGAGATATTAAGGACTCTGTCAGGGAGGTCAACTTTCTGAAAATTTCCGTATTTGTGATTAGTGAATGAAGAGTATTACTTCACCCCTGAGTGCTATGTGCATTCTGCCACCACTGGTTAAAATTTCYTTCCATCAGAGAAGTGTTGTGCTTGCAGTAAGGTACATAAGTGCCTTGACACCTATGTACTTTTTAAGGAAGTTCCTTGAATAATTTATTGGTTTTTATAGCTACCTTGGTATAGAATTATATTTGTTTAGAATGTATTGTTTAAAATAAACATCATGTTTATCACTACTTCAATTTTTAAGTTTTTTATGAGCCTTTATAGAGCTGAAAATTGTACAAAAAACGGAACTGAGATTTTTCTACAGCTAGCAATTTCACTGACTGTAAATAAACTAGTTTCCCTTTACCTTCAAGATGGAAATACAGCACAAGTCATTAAGACAAAAAATGGGAGAATAATTTGATTTTTTATATGCAAGTTGCATTTATTGCAAATAGAAAAAAATTTAAAACACTCACYGTTCACTTTGACTAAAACATCAACAGCAGCCAGCACTCAACAGCAAAACTATGATGCTATGGTGCTATGCTACAAAACTGATGCTATGTTTTTGCATTTCATTTTACATCCTAAATTAATTAGTATTAAAATCTATCTATAAGCAAATTAATTCTGCAATGTGCCAGCCTTCTTACTGTGTATAGTTTATTATGAAATTATGTCAGCATGCATTTGTTTGCATTAGTTTCAAATTAGTCTGAGAGTTTCACAAATATAGTTTTAGCTGTAGCTAATCTCACTTAAGAAACTCATGACTAGACTTCTGTGAAAAAAGAATTGCATATCCTTAGGAATATATCAAACAGCCTTAAGCCCCTTAGCTTATACCTCAGTATTAAGTTCTGACCTTGCAGCAACAGCTACTRATTTGAAGTTTATTATTTATACCTGGAATGCTTAAACTTTTTTTAAAAGTGTTTTGGGTTTTTTTCTGAGTATATCCATCAAACAGAAAAAAGCAGCATTAGGATGGTAGAAGCAAATATAAATACAGTATATTTCCACTACACTGTCCAAAACAAGCTCTCCTAATTAATCAAGGACAAAGCCTTCATCAGAAAGGCTTTATACCTTTTACCTAGAAGTCAACACCATTGAATGCCACTAAATGCAAAWGGCAAGCAATGACTGACAGCTCTACCCTGTGATCACCCACTACCCCAACCCCATGCTGATGTCTGGAAAGTGGTACTTCACTTTGTTTGGCTTTTTAGACAGATCCTAGAAGAAAGCTGTGTGCAATCAAAGACCACACTATTGACCCAGACAGCATCTGGAACTAACAATAAGCCTCTTGTCCAAGTGGAACAGTCACTTCATGCTCTATGTGATTATCACTACTGGCACAAAGAAAATTTTCCTAACACAGATTAACTGATCTGAAAGATGGCCCTGTGAAGATAATAGGTAAACTGGAATTTTCAAACAAAGGACAGAAACAAGTTAAAAATGACAGGAAAATTAATTAACCCAAGTTTKCAGTGGGTAGATCCATGAAAAACACTATTTGAGTTTATGTATTTGTACCTTTAGTACACAAATTAAAAAGAGAGYTCTATAAATGCCACCTCCCTCCCAATTTGGAACTCTTAAAAATAAATCATCAAACACAAGTGGATTTCTTTTGAAAACCTGAGGAGTTGATTTTCTGAAAAAGCAGCTTCTCTTGTACTGCTGCCAGCCCTGCTTAAACTATGAGGTATATATWATCTGGCAAGAAATTCTCCTTATAAGATGTTCAGCTCCAGTACTTTCAGTTACATGTGCAGCACAGCTCCTCATTTARAGCTTTAAAAATGGAAGAAGGTTAGACTGGACCTTGAGAGCTGGAAAATATTTTCAGTGTTGTGAGCCAAAAGTGTAAGTTACCCTAAATGAGACATATACAGATGTAATAGCATAGCTCAGTTTAAAATACTTTTAAAGGGAAAAATAAGGAGTTTGGGAGCCATATGGTGATCAGACTGAGAAAATGTTTAAAGGTATACCATACAAAAGCACTAAAAATAATACAAGCTCCTTCAGCAAGACTCTTTCACTGTTYTTAGTTGCTTTTCCCTCCCTCATTTTTAATGCGTACCATTCATTGGTAAGCATTGCTCAGGGTTTCACAGATGTGAGCTTTATTAGTTCATCCATTTATCTGCTGGTTTCAGAATATAAGCATTTTAAATCTTTATTTTTAAAGAAAGAAAAACTAGCTGGTAAAATAAATTGCTAGTAAGAGAATTTGAAATGCCAGTAACATTCTTGAGTACATCTCTGTTAAACAAAAGCACATGCAGATGATAAATGCAAACAAGTACTTTAAAAGCATTATTTTAATTCATTCACTATTGAAAGTGCAAATACAAGTTCTACCCTACAGTGAGAACTTATTTAAAAGTTGATGTCCACTTATATGTAGATGATGTAGACTAAAACTAACCCTATCTACAAATTAATCTCACCAGAAAAACAGCTAGGTTCATCCACTAATGTGAACTGAGCTACAGGGACTAAAAGTGTGAGGTAAGTGAAAGCTCTAGCATCTGCATGGACAGAACACACAAATCCTTTAAATCACCAAAATTCATTTGATCAAGTTCAGCTATGGAAACCAGGTATATAGTTCAAACCAGGGGCCCAGGCTACTTCTGTAGCTCTGGAGAATGAATCGTCCTTTCAATAAGTCAGTATTCTTAAATAGATGGCATGGGTCACTCTGTGGAGCTGCCCATTTTTCTCGTGACTCTAGACGTGGCATGGCACAGAGGTTAGTTTTCAAATGGCCAGATTTATGAGAAATTAATCTGTGACACAGAAGCAACCATCTTAATGTGAAGAAGCATCCTGTTCACAGTAACAGCTGCAACAAACCTGGAGCATCACATTTGGAAACTGGAAGCAGTAAGAGGCCAGGTACTGAACTTTTGGTAGTGTGGTTATTTATCCTGGATATCAGGAATGCTAACTAGGGACAGGGCTGTGGCTGAAAAAGCCTTTGGGAGGTAGGCGTAAGTAAAAACTCTCAAAGCTCTCTGATAAAAAGCCCAATTACAGAGAGGTGAATTTTGGATTGTCTCTGAAAAGAGATGTTTCTTTCTCTTTAAATAAAGTTAAAAAGATGTTCCAAATTTCTTTGCTAAAATAACACATCCTAACACAATTTCACCTCACTTGAGGGAGACCCTGCTGGAACAGCATTTGTTAATAGAGCATTAAAAAAACCCCAAACCAAATACTGTGGAAGGATTAACAAAAAAATTTAAAACACCTCTCTCAAAAAATTGGGGGARAGTTCAGCACTGACTTCTGAAGTGATGAAATTTGGCAAATCAGAAGGCCCTCCTACAAACCATGTGTTTCCCTCTCTTTTGAAATTATTACTCCTGGGAATTCAGGCTTCATTAATATATGATTAACCCAGGCTCTGAACATCAGTGAGGTGCTTAACTCAGAGTAAAGCATGAACAAGAGCACAAGAAGAAACGTGGTGCAGTTTTATATTAAAATGGTCACTAGGTATATTCCAAATAAGTTKAGAGAGTGCCTAATTGCTTCAAAGTGAGTACTCTTGGAAACCATCYGAAGGAAATGCAATTCACAATGTCCAGGGTATACAACTGATGTAAAGTTCACAGCTTTGCAGGAAAACAATCTATACTGCTTGGGTACAAATAGAATACAAGACTGTGTCTGGAGTGAAAGAAAAGTTCAAAGAGCTCAGTACCGTCAAGTCAAGAAACCAGTCAATCTCTATCCTAGTAAAAATATTGTATAGTACCTCCAATCTCAAACTCAGTTACTTTTAGGAGAAGATTCCTGATACAATATTGCAAGTGGAAGTTGTGCTTTTTGACTGGAGAACAATAGAGAATCAATAAACTGAACAAGTAGAGACTCTTTGATCTGTACTAATAATATCCAAGACTTCAGAGGAAGCTCTGAAGGAAAAGCCATTWAAAATGGAAATAAATAGTAAACAAAATTATAATTAGCTTAGTAAAMAGAGATTATGATGTATCTTCTTTTAGTAAAATAACTTTGGGAAGCATAAATACAGTAGATCTAATATAAGTAGTATAAGCCTGTCTTTAGTTATTCTGCCACGCTATATTTTGGTAAAACCTTATCTGAATTACTATCCATGTTTCTTCTCATCTCCACCTAAGGGGAAAAAAATCTAGGGAAGACAATGACAAATAATAGGCTTGTTATGTATTGTGGCGATGGTGTCATAATTATAAGTCACTATAAATCTGACACAAATAAATTCATGTTTGACATGAAGATGAATAACGTTAAAATGGATCGAAGGTGCATTATAGAAGAGGAGGAGGAGGACACGACAATCTTTGAACTCCTCCTAGAAAACAAGAAACACAACTCACCAGAAGCTCTTCTCTAACAAAATAAAACATCAAGATAGGCTCAGGATATGGAAAGATCACAAATACAGCTTTCCCACACAGATRAAGTAGAACCTTAGAAATGCCGCAGATTCCACATGTCTGCTCCAATGCTGCACTTCCCAACTAATGGAATACTTCTGCTAATTCTTAGGCTAAACCTCTTAGGGCTGCACCTTGKGACTATTGCCCTGTGTTTTAGCATCTTTCACTGCTGAGGAGTTTGAGTTCATTTTACTTGTGAGCTCCCCATTCTCATGTACTTGTATGCTGCCATTAGCTCCCACCCTTTGCCTCTTCCTAATAAAAGTTCTACAACAGATTCCATTGTAAGGCTGTTTCTACTTTGGTAAATAAACAAAGCAGTCTTAAACCAAAGAAATTAGTTTGCTCACATGTTTTATATTTTCCATGGCTGCTGTCGTGTCTAGTAAAAGATCTAAAACYCCCTCTCTGTTACCTCTGTAGCACAAGAGTTGTGCCAAGTGTGGATTTAAGAGATTGTACAGGTTTTGGCTGGGATAGGGTTAGTTTCCTTCATGGTAGCTCCTATGGTGCTATGTTTTAGATTTGTGAYGAAAACAGTGYTGCTAACACAGGGATATTTTAGCTATGGCTGAGCAGCACTTAACACAGTGTCAAAGCCTTTTCCGCTCCTCACCTCACCAGGGAGAAGGCTGGGTGAACCTGGGTGCACAAGSAGCTGAGAGAATACACAGCTGGGACAGCCATCCCACCTGATCAGAGGAACATCCTACACCATAGGCTGTCATGCACAGCAATAAAACCGGCGGAAGAAAAAGGAAGGGGGGATGTTCGAGTGATGGTTTTTGTCTTCCTGAGAAACAATTATAAGTGATGAAGCCCTGCTGTCTGGGGATGGCTGAACACCTGCCTGCCCAGGGGAAGTGGTGAAAGAATTCCTTATTTCGCTTTGCTTGCACATGCAACTTTTACTTTACCTATTGAACTGTCTGTCTCAACCCACGAGTTTTCTCATGTTCATCCTTCCGATTCTCTCCCCCATCCCACTGGGGAAAATAAGTGAGGGGCTGTGGGGGGCTGAGCTGCCAGCTGSGCTTAAAKASACACACAGGTATCTGGAAGAGCTCAGTGTCCCGTCAGAGTGTGGAGGCAAGAGTGGAATTTGAAGAACAGTCCRAGGATAACCTTTGTCTTAAGCAACTGTTTTTGTCCCTTTCAGAGAGCTTAAAATCTCAAAAGTCAATATACAAGGTATATAATTCATAGAAGTTTTCAGAAAATATCTGAGTTTTGTTTAAAAAGTTACTATTTTCCAACCCACTTTGAGATACTATTAACCAAAGGTATTTAACTCCTAAGTCTTAGTAACAAATCATGTTTGTAACATGAAACTATGTAAGTTAATATTTTATTAAGCCTTTTCTGACATTTTTTAAGAGTGTTTTCATTAACACTAAAAATATGCTACTCAATTAGACTTCATTTCACACTGTATGCTCAAATCTCCATATACCTTTCAGAATTGATCTTTCTGATACTAAATCCTAAAGCAAGCTTATTGTCTTCATCAAATAATTTCTTCGATTAAAAAAATAYAAAAAGCTTAAAGCTGTGATTTAATTATTTGAGGGAAAAAAATCAGCACATTAAAACAAAGTCACAACTTTCTACATGGTCAAACTTGTAATTATGCCCATGGGCACSTACAGTCAGTCAGTAAAACTCATTTCTTATTTATTGATGCCAGAAATCCATCAAGAATTAAAGTGACAGTAAGCTATCTACTGTGGGACAAGCTACCTCTGWATGTCTAACAGAAGCAGGACTCTCCCACTGTCATCTCAAGTACAGAATGATGACTTTCTCAAAGTAAGTTTGCAGCTATTTCTCCAGGACTGCTGTTCACTAAAACAAAGCTCTTACTGGTTTGCAGGAGAAAAAGAACATAGCTWAAATTTATACAAGATGACTCCCACTCTACAGCAAATAAAAATAACCAAAACAGTAAAGCATTTTAATATTCTTGTAATACAACCTAGGCTTAGTCCTTTCATTTTTCCAGATATCCCCATGAAGATATTAACTTTCTAGTATTCATAATGCAAAGTACAACAACAGACATCTTAAATTTGCCCAGATTTCAATTCAAGTATTATAAAATATGTTTTCATGCTTTCTTTTCAGTGTATTGAAAGGTCATGTTTTTTTACATGAATGCTAACAGGCACAGTTCACAATACAGGTCAAGATTTCTTTGGGGATTCATTCTCTGTCTCTCATTTTAAAATAAGTTTATTAKTTGAAATCAAGATAAAAGACAAATATATATTTGATCTAAATGCTCAGACTGGCCCACATATATAATGCTTAAACACTATGATGATCAAAATCTTTTTATTCATTTCATATGCTTTACTAATAATGACTGTGAATCAAAGTCACAAGTGTATTACTTAATGTTATGAATAGCCATGTGTAGTATCTGTCTATCCATGTTTCAAGTTAGTATCACCCACTCACATTCATAATCTGAGCACTCACCACCCTGCATGCAAACAGAAAACCCCAGACCAAAAGACAGGGTTACCTACCAACGGTTCCCGGTTYTTGACGAGCCTAATTATTTTAACTGAATCTTCTTCTTCATCAATATCATCAGGCATGGGGGGCAAGATGGGATCATAGTTCTTCTGAGCAACAGTATCATGTACAGACAGCAAAGCCTGGAAACATTAACAGTCAGTAGATTATTTGGCATCTGAAAAGTTCAGGAAGGCAAAGCAGAGGACATTATTTATACCCTGACTCTACTGCTGTGATGCAAGTAGATTGGATATAATTCTTGTATACAATTTTAACACATTTCAAACTGACGACACAACTCCATAAAGAATATGTTTCCAYATATGGAATGTGTGCAACTAGTAAATTGTGGATAGAAAACACCGTCTTCATACACACGAAAATACCATGTGCTTTGCATACTAGCTTTTACAGGAACTATGAAATGAAGCAAACCTTAGTCTCTAAAAGTAAGTAAATAATTATACTTGCCCTCAGTAAAAAACTTATTTGATACAGTGGGCAGTCCTATGAAACAAATAAAAAATAAGCACTTTCCAAGACTTCTGTTCAAGCACAAGATGTATGATATGAAGGTGTTGCCCAACCACTCCCTTCACAGGACCTCTGAAAGCTTACCTGGTTACTGTATCCCTTTCATATGAGCCTGAAATTACCTTAGGAATTTTTAATTAATTATGGAATTCATAACTGAGATTGAGGAACATACTACTGAAACAACTTGGTTTAGGCAGGTGTTTATCAATCACCTGCTGCATATCTTTCTTGCCTCTTTCTCTGTTGCTACTCCAGTTCATGCAGAGCTTAAAAAATAGATTTTTCAAAGAAATGCCTAAAAATATTAACAAAAGGTTCCATCGTAAGAATGAAATAATTTATGAACTGTCAGGAAATAAAAAATCATGAAAGGCAAAGGAAACTAGAAAGCTCATTCTCCTATGGCTTAAAAAAAGAAACCTTGACGATAACATAAAATTCACACTTCTTTCTAGATACAGAACTCCAAAAGTTCTTTCCTATTTTGAAAAGTCTTCATTATTTATAATATCTTTTAAACTGGTGAAAAATGGTCAAATAATGCTTTACCTTTTGTAGTGAAAACTGTACATCGTACCACAAATGACAGCAACAGCCATACACATAATTCTATCTACTGCTTTCAGTTGCTTCTGTTTTCAGTAGTTTCCTCTCAATAAATGAATATTTAACAGCTTTTCTTAACAAAGAACACAAAACGGCTATTTGTCTGATGCCAGTTTCCTTGCTACTTAGTAATGGGTGGACGGTACTTGACTGAGTACACAAATGACCAGAAATGCTATTTTCTCAAGGGTAATGCAAATGTTTTTAAAAAGCATGACACTTCCATTATGCTATTCCAGGATTTTTTTTTCTGAATGGAGGAAATTTTAACAACAGAAAACAATTTCCAGGCAATCCTACAAGCTATTATGTCAAAAGCTGTAGGCAAAGGGCATATGGTAATTTTCAAATTCTGAAGTTTAAATTTAAACGTAGGGCTTCAACAAAATAAACACAGAGGAAGATCATGCCTGCTTCATGATAAATTATTACTATTTTACTATTTTTTAATGCACATTGTACAATTTCATAAAAACACTTAAACACACTAATTATTTCTAGTTTTCAGTCACAGTTATGAATTTGTACTACTCACCATCAGAAATTGCCATCTCCCTTCAACAAAAGATCAGTTTTATTTTAGATCTGAGCTACAAACCTCTGGCTAGCAATTATGGATCCTCCTGGAAATGTTTATTGTGATGCATTACAGATWTAAAAGCCATGCAATCACATGCAGTCCTCTTAAGATGTATGTGAAATACCAAAGATACACTAAAACAAAAGTAGTGTTTGCTTTTACTTCAGGCTACTTACAGTTAAGACTTCTAAAACTAGTCTTCTGCAATTACATTTTTCCACATAAAGCTAGGGCACATTCATGGACTGGTTCAGTTTAATGAGGTTCTATATTGCAGTTTAAAAACAATCAGGCAGATAGAGAAAACAGATGAAAATAATATAAAGCACCATTTCCAGAGTAAAGGGTAGACACTTAAAACATTTTTCAGAAGAATCTACTCTTGACAATGAAACTTGCAAAATGGATTCTGTCCACTTCTATCTACACTGAGTTATGCCACCAGTGTTAGTAAGTCACTTCCCTGCTCTGACTGCCAGATCAGGCTCCTGGACACCACAAGCAGAACAATGCTGCGTCCCAAGTGCTACAAAGCAATACCAATCAATGGTATTTATGATGCTTTTCTTCACTCACAACAATTGGAACTTATCAACCCATTCCTTTCACGTCTCAAAAAACATATTAAACCACAATGTACTACAGTTAGTAATATAAAATCCTTTCCTCAGACTCTTGCGCTACTTAATCTCAGAGYGAAGATACATACTTCAGATAAGAGTAGGAATGCCAAAAATTATGTGCCTTTTCCCAGTCAAGCCTTCAGAAGAGCTTCTGTCATCACAAACCTGTTTATGATGTACAGTGAACATGCTACRTTTTCTTAACTTCTTGTCTTCCATCACTGCTCCCTTTAAAACACTACTCTCTGTCCACTGTAGCTGCTCTGGAATCAGGCATCAGCACAGACTTTGGGCAATAACTAATTTGCAAACAAAACTTAAAAAGCCACTTTGATTTCACTTAGTGTATTCAGCTAGAAGTGATCAGTCTGTCCTCGAGAGCATTCCATATGTTTTGAACACATGAAAAAAATACCGTTTTCACAGAGTAAAAGAGCAGAATCTTTGTGCATTCAAATAATGTAGTCTAAAAAACTATGTATCAGACTAGATGGGTATAGAGAAGGTTGGGACTTAATTTAAAAAAAAAACAAAACACCAAATTGCAAGTGCCAAGAAATAAAACTTGCATCTTAAGATGAACAAGAATCACCCAGAATAATTGTGCACAAGACAATGTAAAGACAGCAATGTTCTTTTTGTACATAAGAAGTGAAGAACCGACTCATTCCTATGATACTAATTTTTTAACTCACAGGAAATTGCAAGAAGTGTAGACCAATTATTATATTTTTTTAATGCTTTGGTTTTGTATTCAAACACAGAGCTCTTTGGAAATATGTACATAGGATCCAAGATTTGGGTGATGTATATTTAAGCACCTTTGGAGAAAAAGATTTTATTTCAGCTCTAAGTTCTATGCTTATGATTCACTAATGTAAACATGGTCCATATTTAGAACTTGAAAGAAGGTATGATTCAAACTCCTGCACTACCTAAATATAAATATTGATGTTCAGCTAAATTCTTAGACATGATCTAGCTGGAAATGAATACCTTCATGAGACTTCTGAAATGTCTAATAACTATTGCTGTATTTTTCATATTAAAACTATCACTGATCATTTCACAGTTTATAAATTGAAATTTTACACTATCAACTTACGCAAAGAAAATCTGACATTGGAAATGTTGGAAGTTCTTTTTTTTTTAAACTGTTCTGAAACTTTAAATGTTTATTTAAATTGAGAATGTTATTAATGAAAACAGTTCTATATTTTGAAAAATGTGTATCATTTAACTAGTAGACTGACTACATTTTTGCTCTTCTAAAACAATGAAAAATTCCATATTATTTTTTGCTTTTCTATATTTTGAGATCTGTAAGAGTAAAAATACACCACTAGCCCCTGATTCATGAACACAGCTCCTTATGTTTTTTCATTCTCATTATTTAAAAAATGTCCATCTAAGCTTTATTTTTCAGATACTTTGCATTTAGTAGTCTAGAAAAGCATTTTAGAAAATGGTAAGTTAAAGAAGTGAAACAGAATGGGCAAAGAACAAAAGCAGCCTCTTTCCTAACGGTACTTGGAAAATAACATTATTAAAAATTTAAATAGTGAGTAGTCATTGACAGAAACTTTGTAGCAACTTAAACCAACCTTTAGGAGAGCCAACAGCTGCAGCAGGGTGACACTGCCAACCCAGCGGCTGGTGACCCTGACTGTGGAGCACATTACTGCTCTGGCAGCACAGTCAGCAAAATAGAACAAAATGGCCCATGACTGTGCTGTCCCACTCCACAGCTTAGATCATTAGCACCAGCCACCTTCTCTGGCAGTTCAGCTTGAACTCCATCAGGTGAGACACAGACATTTCTCCACCGCTTTGCTTTGCCATGGTGCCAGTAATTGCCACTGAAGCTGGCACAGAAAAGTTTCACTTGAGGAGAAAAATAACTTTATCAGCAACCACAGCAATGTGCCCCTGCACTCACCTGGCAGAGCTCATCCTCCAGAGAGCTCTAGCCATATTACATTTTCCTTTGAGATAAGGTTACAGAAGAAATTATAAAAAAGGATAAAAATGGTGGAGAAAATTATTTAAGATTGGAAAGATTAATTTATGAGTAACTTGCATAAAATTAAAATAATGTGAGTGATGTCATCCAGCAGTAGATATCAAAGAAGAAAAGCTGAAAGAGCTGGGAGGAGACTGAACATACTGAAGAAAAGATCATCAAGAGCATCAGAATGGAAGGAGAAGCACAGGAGTCACAAAAGCCAAACATGTGCAAGAATTTAGAAAAGAGTAGAATGAACCAGCAGAAAGCTGAAGCATTATGGTGATGGCATACAGACTCTAGACAGTGTGTGGAAAAACTGTCATCAGAAATTAGCAGCAAATGGCAGTCTCCTGACCATCAACACTGCCTGCTAAGGGACTACGTGCAACACTAATCCTGAGACAAGTTAAGGGTTAACAAGGGAACCGAAAGGCAGGTGAGAACAGGCATTTCCATTACCAGGTAAGAACAATCACATTATCTGAATTTTCCAGCTTGCTGAAGCACGCAGTATAATCCAGAAGCAGAAGCAAGCAATAAAACTACAAGCAGGAGAAACTCAGTTGTGCTGCTAAAGTGGCCAGAGGATGGCCTGAGTAAGACCAAAATTAACATTTTTTACAAGCTACAGTAATCACACATCAACCACAGAAGTAGTGTTACTCTTGCCGATGCTGCATTAATCTAATCACTTCCCAACAGAAATCTGGGATTTTCTGTTCTGTACAGAATTCCCSAGTTTAATATATAGTGTATATGTTAAAGAAATCTGTCAACTTCCATTTA